GGTGCGTTCGGTCTATCGCGTCCTACCGCCGTCCTGTCGAAGAGCCTTTTCTGATCACAAGGATAGTTCACGTACACGCACGGGGAAAAGACGCTCGTCCTCGAGCCGCTGAAGGGCCAAATCGACCCGGATGCGAGCGATTATACGGTTGGGAAGGTCAAGGTCGAGGTGCGGCTCGTAAAGCGCGCCCAGGGGCGGTGGGGCGAGCTCGTTGGCGATGCGCCTGATCGTACGTCCCACCCACCTTATTTTCTCTTTTCATCGCTGACCTTGTCCCAGCCCTCGCAAACACCAACTACCCCACGCCCTCCGAGCCCGCTCCCGCCGTGCGGAAACCACGCAAAAACTGGGAAGGGATCACCACCACGATCCTGAGCTCCGAGAAGGAGAAGACGACGGAGGAGGACCCGAACGTCGGCGGGGACAGCACACTCAACTCGTTCTTCCAGAAGATCTTCGGTGATGCGGACGACGACACAAAGCGCGCGATGATGAAGAGCTATTCGGAGAGCGGCGGCACGACGCTCAGCACGAATTGGGACGAGGTGAAGAAGGGCAAGGTTGAGGTGAAGCCGCCTTCGGGCTCGGAGTGGAAGAAGTGGAATTGAGGATGCTGGGCAGTGGATAACTCGCTCTGGTGCCTTTGAGCCTTTTCTATCGTTGAATCTCTTGTCATTTTCGTATTTTTTTTTTCTTCACTCGTTGCATGCTCTGCTGCTGCTGTGTTGCATTTTGCCGGTCCGTCCGAATATGTACCAATCAAAAATTCCATCGCTATTTTTGAGGTCCATTTCTTAGTCCCAAGATTCATGTTGTCGCCAAAACTGATGTCTCGTCTCACCATCGTCGTCGCAGCCACCAAAGCCAACGGCATCGGCGCCAACACGCGCCTCCCATGGCGACTGCCCAAGGAGATGAAGTACTTCGCTCAGGTAACGTCGAACGCACCGGATGGATGCCAGAACGCGGTCATCATGGGCAGAAATACCTGGGAGAGTATTCCGAAGAAACACAGACCGCTCGCGAAACGCGTGAATATCGTGGTTAGCAGAAATAAGGAGTACGATCTGTGAGTTTCTCTAATGTTCTTAATGTGGCGTAGCGCGCGATCTCATTGCTCTGTAGCGGCTCGGAGGCCCCGTCGGTCGTGCTCAAGGATAGTCTCGACTCGGCACTTTCACTCCTTGAACCCTCAGACCCTGACGCAACAAGGTTGCATCGCGGGTTCGTCATAGGCGGCGCGACACTTTACACCGAGTCCCTCTCTCGGCCTATCTCTTCAACAGGGGCCAGTGTCGACCGTATCCTGCTGACACGAATCCTCTCACCGGACTTTAGCGACTGCGACGCATTCATGCCTGACTTCCTCAAGCCAAACGAGGGAAAGGTGGAGTGGATGAGGTCAACGCATACGGCCCTACAGGAGTGGGTTGGTTTTGGGGTGCCAGAGGGCGAGCAAGAGGAGAACGGAGTGAAATACGAGTTCCAGATGTGGGTGCGCCAGTCGTAAGATATTCACGAATTAGAAGGGCATGGCCCAGAATATTGGAATGGTACATGTCGACTATTGAACTCTTCTCCATCTTCTCCTGTAAAGTAGGGGGGAGGAACTAGCCCTGGCGCTGGACAGAAGTCAGCTCGGATACCAGAATGAGGAAAGGCCGGGTGGCGCACCTGCTTATGCTTCGGGTTCTTCGAGCACACAACGTACATCCTCCCCTTCCGTTTGACGATATTACATCCATCACACATGATCTTGATTGAGGAGCGCACTTTCATCCCTCTTGCCAGGGGGGGTACCTGAGTTAACGTCGGTGTGACATGGTGGTGGTGCGGGTGGTGGTGAGGAAGGGAGATGGTAGCTGTGCGGATGCGTGAAACGAGCGGCCGGCTGGATGTTAGCAGTGCACGAAGCATTGCGTTGGCGTCGTCGACCTCGACTTTGAGTGGTTGGGTGGTGAAGAGTCAAAACTTCGGCGGCGTATTCGGCGCGAGTGAGGCGACACGTGATCGGAACAGCACCGAACGCGGGGTAACCTCTTTCAATTTGGACCTCAGTGCATGATACTCCCCCAGTGAACCTAACGTTAAACTTGACACGTTCGTCGCTGCAGGCTCAGTATCTTTCCGTTATAGACACTGCAACCTCTGTCTCTCTTCTATAAATACGGCTGTCTTATCGTATATCTGAACCGCCACCTGCCTTTATGCCCTCTGGCCTCTTCAAATGCACACTAGAACTCCAGAGTCGCTCGCCACACCTCATGTTAGCAGTAAATTGGCGACGATAATTTTCATCTTCACCCTGCTTGGGTTCGTCATAGAGACCCAGCTTACACAAGTGCGCTTCTCTTTCTGTCATGTCCGCTGTCCATCGTTGGCTGATCTGATCCTCGCGATGCTAGTACGTCCAAACCAGCCTCGGTTATAGGCAGTCCTTCTTCCTTTTGTGAGTTCATTAATTGCCTGTACTGGGCATGGTGCTTACCTGCTATTTCCCCAGTTATATTGTACATTCGTCCTTCGCCATAATATTCCCCCTTCACCTACTGTATCTTATCGCCACAACGAACTACACTGCTGTATCTCTATTGAAAGGCCTCGCCATCGCTATATCGAATCATCTTGTGCCGTCGCAGAAGAGTAATGACGCCTTTAAATTCCCCACTGCCAAATTCCTCCGTCTATCCCTCGCCTTAATGGTGGGCGTAACATGCCCTGGACTCCTTTGGTTCGCAGCTATACCTCTTGCTTCGTGAGTAATTCATAGCACCACTCTGCGAAATATAGAAATTCATAGATGAGTTAGAATCACGGACGTGACTGGTGAGATACAACACGTTATATTAGACTCTGCAACCTGATATCTGCCTTCCAAGCCATCTGGAATACCAACGCATTCTTTGCATACCTCATCAGTGTCAAAGTGTTCAAGCTGAAGTGGGAGCCAAAGCGTCTTATGGCTGTCGTTCTCGCAACAATTGGCACGGCTGTTGTAGTCTACGGAGGCAGTAAGACATCGGAAGAATCTGGCGTCTCAACCACCGCACCCTCGACATACAAGAAACCCGCCGCCCCGCTTATAGGCAACCTTATGACTCTCGTTGCGTCGTTCGGGTACGGCCTGTACCAGGTGCTGTATAAAGTATATGCCGCACTGCCCTCGGATCCAGAGGTCGCTGCTGAACGCGCCTACGAGCAAATTCCCGACGAAGAGGGAGGAGACGTCTCTGTTTCTGTTGAGGTAGACGCGACAGACACGGTGTACCCTCCTCCTTTTGGGTTTCACCCCAATTTTTTGACGTCGATATTGGGCGTCCTCACGTGCCTTATTCTCTGGATACCTCTTCCCTTTCTCCACTATTCTGGAGCAGAGGTGTTCCGGCTTCCACCCAACCTTTACACCGCACTCTGCATCGCTGGTATCTCACTTAGTGGTGTAGCCTTCAATGCGGGTTTCATGGTGGGTCCAACAAGTGCATTCTTTACCCCACTCGTCTCTGATCACGTTCGTAGGTTCTTTTGGGCGTCTGGGGCCCCATTATCGTGTCCGTTGGGAACCTCCTGACCATCGTACTCGTGTTAATCTCCGATGTATGTCTTTCTTTCCTTGCCTGCCTGGAGGCCGATCTGACGGAAGGGCATTAGGTTCTCTTCGGCCCAGGGTTGCAAGTTATCACTCTCTGGAGTCTCATAGGTTCAGCAGGGATCGTCCTGGCCTTTGGTATCCTTGCATACGACATCTTCAGCAAGAGGTCTTGATGCTCCAAGAGACAAAGCCAAAGGCGCGACGAAGATAATGACGACCTTATCTACCTCCTAATTCAACTACCTTCCTGCGTTCATAACGCAGAGTGCCAATCCGAAGTGTGATTCTAGTAATGTCTACTGCCTCGAGTCGGAGCAAGGGGAACAGGTTAGCCAAGAAGGCCATCGTTTGGGTGTCGTGCTAGAGTGGGATGACTAGGAAGCATATCGTGCATATTGCATCTGAGCTATGATAAGCCTAGATTGCGGGCCATGCTCCGGGAGGAAGCAGCTTTCCACGAGTCTGCATAAATAATACGAGGAACTCAATTCGGAGTCCACTTGTTAAGCTGTCTTCGGGTTACTTACCGAGCCATCCGACGAACAGATTTCCGGCTACTCTGCCGTCATAGACATCGAAGTGCATGGATTGTGATTGACGAGAAAGGTCGGACGAATGTATATGTACGGCGAAGGGAGGAACGAAGGGGAGGAGTCAGAGGTAGCAGACAACCGACAAGGAAAAATCATTAGATAGTATCACACAAGCAGGAGAGAAGAGGGGAAACGGAAATGGAGCCGGAAAGGACAGTACTACAAGGAAGATGTACCCAATAAGGAGCGGACATGGGAGAGAGTAGAAGAGTATAATTACAAGTCCTAGAATTTTGGTGCAGTGGACTGAACGGCGACAAGGCGGCCTTACCGGGTATGTGCAAAATCGAGTAGGAGGGAGAGAGGTACCGGTAGGAGAGGGAGGATGTAAGATAATCTGTAGAACGTTTCTTCATGAACAATATCGTTTCTGCTGAGAACTTGATGATAATAATAACGCGACTGCGGCAAAAAATGCGTATCGTGCCCAAGTGACAGTGTCCTGCACAACACACCCAATTGTCGACAAGATGTCAAATATAAACGGGGCGGGCAGACACTCTGAAAAGCAGATATTCGGATCATTGAGGACACACGCCCGCATGTACACTGGAAGGTAGAAAAAGGGCGAGAGCACAGGACTTGCTCTGCAGAAAAGTTTCTGTCCGACAGCTGTGCCATCAAAGC